TGACATGTTCCTTCCCCACAACCACAAGGCCTCATATGTCTTAAAGGGCCCATGTCATGTTTTTCTGGTTATTACCCGTCCCCTTGTGTGTTATGAAGCTTTTCATGCATATAAACGGTCTGCAAAGTCACAAACCCTCAAAGTACACCCTGTAACCCTCTGTGTTCCTCCAATATTTTCTTTTCTTTGATTTATCCATAGTTCGCTCATCGAGCCGGGGGTCAGGTTATTCGCCTGCAAGAAAAGGTGCTGGTGCGGGACCGTATAGGACAGGGGTGGCCAACCCGCGGCTCTCGAGCCGCATGCGGCTCTTTGCCTAGTTTCATGCGGCTCTTCAGTTCATATCGAATTGTATATGTGTGAGTTTGGGGGAGAGACACTGACTCCTGACTTGTGTTGCACGGTGTACCGATACTTGAAAGGTATACCGCGATACCCTGCCGTTAAAAACGTTACGATTCCTCCGTTTCATTAGTATGGTACTTTAAGAATGACGGGGAAAAGTACTCCGGTGAGAAAGCGCAGTTTTAATTAAGAGCTGTGTGTGTTCAGAGCTCTGCTTCCAATCCCTGCACTGTAGCCGTGCCTGCAGTCCCGCCCCTCTCAAGCACGCTCAAGTGCCTCCCCTCTCTCGTGCACACGCTAGCTGCCAGAGCATGTGAGAAAACGAGAAGCATGGCTGGAAGTGGGAGTGCAACTGCCGCTGCGCCTCGGCTTGTTGACAAAAAAGACGCCAGAAGCGACATTTTGATGTATTTTAGCTATATCTTTGACAGTGAGGGCAAGCCTACGGACACCACGAGGCCTGTCTGTAAGAAATGTATTCATTTTATTTAATACGAATTCTTGTCATTTATTGTTCTCATTGTTTAAAAGTTTGTGTTATAGTTATGGTTCTGGTGTGAAATAAATCACAATAATTATATTTAAGACTTTTTTTAAGAAAAGTATCGAAAAAGAATCGGAATCGCAATTCTTGACTTGGTATCGAAACCAAAATGTTGGTACCGTGACAACACTACTCCTGACAGTTAAACCTGATATTTAGTAGGTCTGTTAAGTATCGAATGCTGACCATTCTGACGTAATTTGGCTGGTCAAAGTTGTTTGGGCTCGGATAAAATCGCTCCGTTACTTTCGTCCCGTGTTCGTCCCGGCTATCCCTACGTGTGTATGTGTGGTGTCAGGTGTCAGTATGAGAGGATGACAGCGCGTCTAATTTTGATGTGGCCCAAGAGCCAATCACAATAACACCTGGGATGCAGTGAACCAATCGTTGATTAAACATTATCCAGTGTTTCCCCTACCATTGTCTTGGAGGGGCGCTGCTCCCCGCCAATGGAGCCCCGCGCCCCCCCTGAAATTCAAGGTGTTTAAAAAATATATATATATAATTTTTCTTTTTTTAAATATATATATAGCACCAAATTGCAAATAATCTGTAACTACTGTCACTTTTCACATTGAACATGTGCTCTTTTATTAAATAAACTAAACGTTTTCATTTTAAGTTGTGAGTTTAGTGTTTTTGATCCTAAGAAACACTGATGCATTAATCAATAACAATAATCCACAGCTCCTCTCTCTGCTCCAGAGGATTTAAAAAAATGCATCAGTGTCGTGGTTGAAATCTTGTCTCCAGAAAACTAAAAACTAAAACAAGCGGTATCAGTGACTGTGTTTGATGTGGCTCTTTGCAGTAACATAGAAAAAATGTGGCTCTTAACCTCTGACTGGTTGGCCACTCCTGGTATAGGATATGACGCATATTTTAGTTGACCTAATTAAAACCGTTTTGTTTGTGTCACAGTATCACCTCAAAATACAAGATACGAAACATTTTGAACCGTGCAAAGAAATATAAATAGTCCTACAGATATTTGTATTTAATTTCCTTCTTATTTTTGTCCAAGCTCAAGGGAGCCAGAGCAGAGGGCTTAAAGAGCTGACCCCTGACCCAAGACAACACAATTACACTCTCAAGTCAGAATGTACTCAGTGTCCAACCTAGTTAAGATTTGTTTACTTGGCATAATGCTATCTTGCCTGTTTAAACTTTGATGAAGCTTAAATCATCAATTTCCCACCACCCATATCAAACAGCAAGTGATTAAAAGTGTAGGCGGAAGCATGCCCTGATTCTTCCTCAGCCATCAAAGTATGCTAATGCTCTTCTTTTTTGCTGAGTTAACCCTGAAATCCAAACAGATCTGGCAGGAGGAGAGGAAGAAAACAAGTTTGAAACGATTGATGTCTCTATCACAGTATTTAAGTCTTTGAGGCATCAGAACAAGTGTTGTCTTCCATCAAGCATGACCTCTAAAGCCTGCTAGCAAATCATACTTGTGTCTTCTGTCAGTTCTGTGCTTATGTCTTCACCCTCGCAAGAGCTGTGTGACAGAGTTTTTGTAGATCACATGACGGATGCTTTCCACAAAAGCAAAGGAATAAAAGTCTGATCTCTTCTTCTCTCCACTTCTGTCCCTCTTCTCCTCCTGCCCTTTCCTCCTCTTCTTCATTCCCTTGGATCCCCTCTCTCTCCTTCTCTCTCTCTGTCTCTGTCTGTCTTGCACCAGGGAAGACGCTGAGGTGGAGTATTTAAAAATAGCTCAGGACCTGGACATGTATGGCGTCAATTACTTTTTAATCAGGGTAAGCCAATGTTTGCTATATCTATACAAAGTAAGCCAATATGTTTTAAAAAGTTGCCCAAATCTGATTTTCTTTTTATGTGCATATGTGACAGTGTAAACATCCTAAGTCACATGGAATTTGATATGATCAATTCTGATTTGGGCCACTTTCATATATGGCCCTACATCTTTTGAATCGTCCTAAATTGTTTGGGATGGGCGTAAACAGATATAATTAAAAGTATCCTCTGACATCCTGAAGTTATAGGTGAAATCTGTTTTAGTGAAGCTGGCTCCGACTCTGCATCAAAACACAACTTTGTACAGAAGAGCCACCTTCGCTCTCCAGAAAATGCACAATAAATAATGTCTTATTTCTCAATCTTGGTATCTTATAAACGAAAGCTGACTTCAATGGACTCCTTCTTCACATCTGTACTGCAGCCGGCTGCATGTGACATCTTTGTTATAGTTTTTTTTACGGCATTATGGTCGATTCATGGCGAAATCCAGAGCATGCCAGAATCTGATAAGCCACATTTAAAAAAACAAAGAAAATAATTCAAAGGCCACGAACAATAACCAATTTGAGCAATACAAAAAGACGTGCAGGGTGAAAGAGACTAGGAGGCTTGCCAATTGTACTGTGGTGTGATGAGATAGGGTGGTAAATTATCCTGTGCTTAATGTCCATTATTAAAAGGGATTTTTTAATCTTTAACAATTTAAAAACAAATGTGTATTTTGTGGGCTTAAATAATTAGCTGCTACAACGCAGTGGATCATTTTCCAGCTGAGTCATAATGAAATATGAACATAAGTTTACTTGTGGCGCTCCAGCCTTGATCAGTGAATTCTCTAAAATGCACAGTCATTTGAATACCAGCAGGTCAACTTCAACTGAAGTACTAGACTGTAGCATTAGCAGCAAGCCCAGACTGCACATACCCCCGCACAACTGGCTTTGTTCATTTGGTATATTTTTGGCTAGCAGAGCCACCACAATGACACCTCTGTCACATGCAAGTACATACAGTATACATGTTGGCTGCATGGATGGTAGAAGAGAAGCTTTGTTCACTCTGCTGTGTGTGTGGTTCAGAATAAAAAGGGAACCGATCTTCTCCTGGGAGTGGACGCCCTGGGGCTGCACATCTACGAGCCGGACAACAGGCTGACACCAAAGTGCTCCTTCCCCTGGAATGAGATCCGCAACATCTCCTACAGCGACAAGGAGGTGGGAGAATCTGCTGTTGTTCTTTGTGACAAAGATCTGCGGTACTCAGTTAAATAACGAGCTACATATAGGCAATACTTTAGTGTCATAGTTTATTTTCTTTGTTCGCTTTGTTCTTTCCTCTTGTGTATTGATCAACAATCTGGTATTCTTGTCTTCGTAATGTTTAGTTTACCATCAGACCTCTCGGCAAGAAAACCAATGTTTTCAAGTTCAACTCTTCGCGTCTAAGAGTCAACAAGTTGGTGAGTTTGTAAAGTTTGTCATTTCTCATAGTGAAGGTCTTCATAACATGTGGAAGATGCTGGTGAATAAGAGTTTTGGGATGAACTGATATTCTGACACATCATTGTAAATATAAACCATTCTTTGGTTGTGTTTCTCTGTGCAGATCCTCCAGTTGTGTATAGGGAACCATGACCTGTTCATACGCCGCCGCCGGGTAGACTCACTGGAAGTCCAGCAGATGAAATCTCAGGCCAGAGAGGAGAGGGCCCGAAAACAGGTACCGTAATTTTCGGACTATAAGTCGCACCTGAATATAAGCCGCAGCAGCTAAATTGAATGATGTGTACATATATAAGCCGCACTGGACTATAAGCCGCAGGTGTTTTAATGTTTAATTACCATATGTAAGGGTTCGTGCACAGAGGGGATTGTCGGGAAAGAGATGGCTGTTTGAGGAAGCTCCCATTTATTAACATTTCAACAAACAAGTTGCATATTTGCATAACGTATTCAAGTGTTACCATTTAGTGCAATAGTAGCTACAGAACATGTACTGTGCTGTATAAACTGTACTGTATCACATAGCGTTTCAGACACACAAACTTTTCAACTTTCAAACTTAATCGGTGCGCTCCCAGCACTGGGAAAAAAGGCGCGGTTTATAGTCCGAAAATTACGGTACATGGATATCAGGAAACAAAGAAGGGGGTATAGGAATGAACTTGTTAGTAGCCAGGTTTCCACTTCAAATGTAGTATACATTTCCACAAAAAAACAGCAAAGGGAATGCTACTTTTTGTGAGTTGGAAACATTGGACACACAGAAAAAGAGGGCAAAATTAGATGTTATTGCAAATATTTTGCAATTTGTAACTCAATTGAACAGTACAGCACATGTCTTTGTGGCTGTTATTACAAGTCAGACAACAGAGGGAAAGCAAGCACCCACATAGAGTATTTAAGGGCACTGACTTGTTAATACAAACACAAAATTACCTTTTTATTAATTAAACCGCTGATTATTTTTGTTTCACTTCCATCCTTAAATGTTAATTAAATGACATTAGTTGCTTTGTTTGTTTGTTTGTTGTATTTTTGTGGCTATAGTGTGTACATGTGTGTTTGACCATATTTGTGTGGACACCAGGAAGAATAGCCAATGCTCAGGCTAGTGAGGGTCCTAATATAGAAAAAACAATACAACAAAGAAGTGTTCTGATCTCCCTCTCTTGTATGATGCTTTCTCAGGATTTTCATCATTTTCTTTAATGATGTTTGGTTCTGTTTCTTTCTTTCTCCATCCATATTTCCACTCGTTTGTTCCCCACCATATCCTCTCTCCTGTGACCTTCAGGTAGAGAGGCAGCGTCTGCAGCGGGAGAAGCAGCTGCGGGAGGAGGCAGAGAGAGCCAGGGACGAGCTGAAGAGGAGGCTGATTCAGCTGCAGGACGAGGCCCACATGGCCAACGACGCACTGGTAAGATACGTCACATAATACGGAAAGTTTCAGCAACATTTCTTTTGGTAAATTGAGCTTGTCTCACACCGTTCTCACTTCACTTCCTCCCTCTGTTCATGTCATTTCTTCCACTCTACTGTCTCTCACTGTCTATTCTTTCCCCTCTATCAATCTCGCTCCCGTTTCGCCCCGTAACTCCATCTCTCTTTCTTTGCTCCATTTCCCCTCAACTCCCAATTCCAACTTTTCTTTCCCCCTTTCCCCATCCTTCTTTTGTCTGTCCTCCCTCCTCTTCCTCTCCAGCTGCGTTCGGAGCAGACGGCGGACCTGCTGGCTGAGAAGGCCCAGATCGCGGAGGAGGAGGCTAAGCTGTTGGCCCAGAAAGCTGCAGAGGCCGAGACAGAAATGCAACGCATCAAAGTGACGGCCATCCGTGGCCAGGAGGAGCGGCGGCTCATGGAGCAGAAGATGCTGGAGGCAGAGATGCTGGCCCTCAAGATGGCCGACGAATCGGAAAGGAGGTGGGGAGAGGAGGAGGAGAGTGTACAGCCGATGATGTTGCAGTGGATTTGTCTCTGTCATGCATACATTCTCTTTTTCTGTATTCATCTCACATGCACATGTTTTTTAGATCCTTCAAGGTCACCTATTATGCAAAATCCACTTTTTCATGTCTTTTATACATCAACACGTGTCCCCTCTGTGTAAAGAGACTCTGAAAGTTTCAGGAACAAAAGATTTGCACACTTTTCATCCTGATGCATTTATATAAAAACCTGTCTGAAAATGAGCTGATCAGATTTTGGCCACTTTATGATGTCATAACGATTTTCTTGGCTTGTGTAACCATTAGCCAATCACCAACCAAGGTAACCCCCCCCCCACCTTATCACCTGAATCATTGAGTTCTTTTTAACCAAATCTCTCTCAGAGGGGCGTGGGGAGTGGTGTGCCTTGGCAGTCTAAAGTAACAGACAGAGAATCAGCACTTTTGAAACAGGGCTGAAACAGAGGGGATTATGGGATGCTATAATTATCTGTTTGGTATTTGGAGCCAAACACTTTAGAGACATGTTTTGTATATATCTGAGACCTATAATATATTGATGAAAAACAGTACAATAGGGGACCTTTAAACAACTTAACCCCACAACCTACTCACTTTCCCAAAGTGTTACCTTTATAATGCAAGTCTCCCTCCCAAATCCCTATACTTTATTTCAGTTTGCTCAGCAGCAAATAAATCAGTCGATACGCTGTGAGCATAACGCTGCAGCTGCATTCAAATTGGTCAATCAAAGAACTTCTAACTTCTTTAAAATCATTTAATTTGGAAGGCTTTGTTCTTGCACTGCAGCCGGTAATCATGCGGTTACTGCCACGCTGCTGCACACGGAAAGTTACAAAGGGGAGCCAGCTTTTGTTCAGCAGCTCTCCTCCTAGCACTAAGGTGCTGCAGTTCATTTGTGCCAGTTAATTGTTAGCAGTCGAATCGATTGATGGTGGGAGTCCCTATCAAACACACTGTTTTACTCCCCACTGAAGCTCCACAGTGCTGAAACAGACTTTTGATGCGTTTTTTTATCTCTGCTTTAAATATGAATGTTCTTGTCACATCCTAGTTCCAATCCGCTACTTTTAACCATCTGCTGTTGACTTATCTTTAGTTCTTTTGAGGTCAGATGAATGAGGAGAGGAAGTGATGAGTGTTTCTTGATCAGCACTGTGATGAGCCTGATAGATGCTGATCCATTGTAACAAAGAACTGAGGTCGTTTTGATCATAAAACAGTATACACGGATACTAAGAATATCACTTTACAGTTTCTACTTTGCAATTTATTAGACAATCATTTCAAATAGGCACCATTAACCACTTGCCAGTAACTGCAATTTCTGGATGAGCACTTTATGCACCAGAGGAACTTAAAACCTGTGGCACTCAACATGTAAATGACTGTGTCCACTCAAACCCTCGAGGCACACAGCTCCCCCACATCAACGAGGAACCGCTGAGAGTTCAGGAACACAATCAAAATAAATGTAATCACCTGCACATAACATTCAAACTCCATGGTGGAATAATGGAGTCAGAAATGATGTTGTGCTTCGGTGTTACATTGATCACCCAGGTAATAACAGAGTGACATTCCCAGGGTCTTCGAGTACCAACGTACCGATTATGTAAGATGATTCTGGATTCAATTTAGATAATTCTGTCCCCTTTGAAGGATTGGTAGGTGAATTAAAGTATGAACTGCGTCTGTCTGTGTTTGTCCCTCAGGGCCAGAGAGGCTGAGCAGTTGAGACAGGACCTGCAGGAAGCCAAGGAGTCGGAGCGCAGGGCCAAGCACAAACTGCTGGAGATCACCAACAGGGCTGTCTACGCGGTGACTGAATCATTAGCATTCATATTTTTATAATGTATTTGTTTCAAGTGCCCTAAACTGATATCCCCCATACAGAATTGTTTCCTTTATCTCCATGCTTAAATCCACCGTTGATCTACATTTTAAAACATTTAACCGTTTTCTCATTATCTTCCTGTGAAACCGCTAGTGTGCTTTTGCATCTTTTCCCCCTGTTCGCCTCTGATGAGTTTGTACCCCTGCAATTCTCAAAGTGATGTCGTTCAGTTTGATGTGGTGTATCAGGGATGATAACTCAATATTTGAGAGTTAAGACAGCTTTTTTTTCTGCTATTTTTAAATATAATTGTGTCAATTGTAAAAATAGTGGGCAGCTGTTGATTGCCCATTGTTGTTCTGTTGATCTACTAAGAATGTTTTTGTATTACTTTCTCTTTAATCTGGATGACATTTTTCTTCTATAGTTCCTGGATACATGTTTTAGTATCCCAAAAAAGTTGAGGCTTTTCCAGTGTGAGATGTGGTAAAATGGGAAGGGCATTTTTTTTAAATATATTTTTAGACAGAGATAAATAAATAATGTAAATAGTTAACTGTTTCAGCCTTGCAAAAATCATACACACACACACACACACACACACACACACACACACACACACACACACACACACACACACACACACACACATTCTAATGCTGGCCATCACTAAAGAACAACTGATTTGTAAGGTTATGAATGATAAGCCTAAACAGATTGGTGCACATAAATACAAAAGACATGCTACCCCTGGAACTCCCTTATAGATTTATCAGATCATGCGTAAAAACAAAAAAATGTCTACACACACACACACACACACACACACACACACACACATTATTTACAATTCCAATTTGTACCGGACAAATAGCCTTTTTTCTGTTTGTCCAGTCTGTATTTACTTCAATTGAATCCATACTGTAGTTTGGAATCCCACGCCAACCAATGGATTTACATTTATATTGTGTATTAGGTCCACTTCTTTACTGGCTCACTCCCAAAGTGACATGTGGCCGATGCATTTCAGACCTTTGGTCAGGATCTAAAAGCATACATGCGGGTGTTCACGGTCCATGACCATCAACGTTGATATCTTTCATCCCTTCTGTTCCTCCCTTATGTCCCTAATGTCTTTTCCATGCATTCCTCCATGTCTCTTGAATTTCCTGTCACTCTGTTTCATCTACTCCTCCTTCGCGTATTTATTTGAACCCTTTCTACCTTTTCTCTGTCCTTTTCGTGTCCCTCCCACTGTCTTCTTTATTCAGTTTTTTCCCCACTGCCAAATCGTCTACTTCACCTCCTTCCCTCTAATCTCTCTCCTTTCATCTCCCCTCCTAGTCCCCTGGCCTGCCATCTGACAGCATGCCTCCCGACCTGAGCTTCAGCAGGGAGAACCTCAGCTTTGACTTTAAAGACACCGACATGAAACGCCTCTCCATGGAGATCGAGAAGGAGAAGTGAGTGGCCGGCTTTACTCTGCTGGGGCTGCCTGATATCTTGCAGCCTCTGCAAAATCTGATTAAATAAAGTTTGACAGATTTGTAATACACTAACATGTGATTGAGAAAGATGTACATGAATTCAGGATTGTACTTCCAGTTGGCGATCGACCCACGCTGATGTCAATGACAGCATTCTAGCTTGTTAGCTCTTGGTGTCAGTGATTACAGACAGGAGAACACATTTTAAACAGCAGTAATTATATGGTTAGGTAATTAAGTTTTATTTAATAAGGCAAGTGAGCCGAGAGGCTACAGGTCGACGATTGGTGGATTACTGTTCATAAGAAGAAGAAAGACTGCCATGGAATCAAGAGCTTTAATAAAAAAATGCAATTGTCGCATGACAGTGATGACCAGGGAGATTTCTTATTAAGAAGAGTTATTTTTTTTCATTTTTATAATGGACTTTTCAACAAGCATTAGCAAACCTCCCCCACCGGCTGTCATAGATACATTTACAAAGCTGTACGTCCTAATAATTTGCACATTTTAGAGCACAGATTCTCAAAATAGTGCTTTTAATTTGGTTTAGAATGCCTGGAAAAAAGTTACTAAACATAAAATAGAGGTTGTGTTTTAATTATTATTTGCTGAGTGCTAAGACACCATCTGAAGTTTTTAGAGAAAATTCACTGAATACAAGGATTTACTTTTGTTTCCGACATGCAGAGGGCCTTTGTATGACCTCATTTAATAATGGTTTAACAGTACAAGCTTCATTATTATTATTATTATAACAACGGTCATGTCTCTTTGTCAGGGCCCATGTTAAGAGGAGTGAAGCAGAGATGCCCATTGATTCTATATTTATTCATAATGGTGATGTCAGTGCTAGCTATTATACTGTTAGATCTAATGAGGACATAGTGCAGACGGGGACTTAGATTCGTAGTAACTGTCTCCCAACCTGCAATGTGATCCTTTTCAGAGTGGAGTACATGGAGAAGAGCAAGCACCTGCAGGAGCAGCTGAATGAGCTGAAGACAGAGATTGAGAGTCTGAAGATGAAAGAGAGAGAGACTCCTCTGGACGTCATTCACAACCAGAACGCCGAGCAGGGGACCAGCAAGCACAGCAACTTTAAAAAGGTAAATCTCAGCTCGGCTGCTTGCATGCTGTACACGTAACACACTTTGTAACACGTGCCAAATGTACATCTCTCCAAAATACACTCTACTGACCCCGTTCATGCCTCGTCTTTTTACACTCACTGTCAATCATTTGTATTTATTTTAGCATCTTGTGTATATGCAACAAAAACTCTAGTAGCAGAACCGAAAATGGATTCACATCTACCTCTTAAAGGGATTTTGACAATTTCCCTGCAGAAAGACTTGCACAATCAATTGATAATGAATGGCGACCACGATTTCAGCTTCCCACAACTTAATAAACCTAATCAACAGTGATGTTTTAAGTGCAATCATTATGGCTTTAATCCTGCAGCCCTACTGAGGAATTGATAGATAGAAAAATAATTCATCAAGATTTAAGGGCAGAGTTTTTGTTTGTAATCATGGTGACTCAGCAGTGTTTGCAGACTCAGATGTGTATTGCTTGCTTTTCTGTCCTAATGAAACATTTGCAAAGTATATGTTTAATCTGGTTACAGCCATAATTACATGCAGTCGTTGCCTGCGCCTTGCATCATATCGTCATTTCTCATTGGGTTGGCAAGTTGAGAAACTATTGTTAGTCACACTTTGTTTTAGTAAAGATACCAGTGCAATTCCTAATTGAATCGAATCAAATCCCAGTGTGAATGGCAGTGTACGGTATTTTTGCAGATTAGCCTTTCTTGTATTGGTTTGGATAAAATATCAAATCATTTTAGAGAGGTAGTTAATAAAACACCCTGCCCTATTTCTAATGCATTGCAGTTACATTTAAAAGTTACTCTTTAGCTATTCCAAAGCTGTCCAATCAGCTGGAGACACAAGAAGTGTAAATGTGGTTTTAATACTGATCCTACATAATCTTTCAAGAACTTGCCTAACCCTCTTAGTATTCATAGGCGGGTTATTACTGATTCTCAGAGCATCACTTAATAGCAACAATGTAAACTTTTCCCTGGGGTATTTTTCAGACTAAAGTTTCTTTTTGGATGGAACCCCATGCGGATAGGTGGAGCACTCCTTCACTTTTTAACTATGACCTCTAAAACTGCACAGTGATTACTGGTCTTAAGTCTACTTTCTCCAAAGATCTCACAGATCAACTGAAAGAGAAATCTGTATTTCTGTATGCATCTTTGGTCAACTCCCTCAGTGAGAATAGCTTAAGTATTTCATCTCACAGAAGTGTCTCGCTTGACGATATGAAATGAGACGGAAATATCTCCTTTTAGCCGAAGGGATAATCCTAAATTGACTGGCGATGGATTTGCTATAAAAAGTTCCCCTTGTCCTTTGATGAACTAGCAGATTAGACACATTCTCCTTTATCTTCCCACCCCAGTGTGTCTGTCATTTCAATAAAACGTATCAAATACAAATGTGATCTGTGCTCTCAGTACATTGCATTAGAAAAAAGCCCACCCTCTCTGCCTTCCTGTAAAATACTCCTGTTAAGCGAGCGCTAATTGATTTCTGCTTGGTCATTTGTCATGTAGATGGATGGGGGGAGGCAGCTTTTGCATGCAGGGGGAGAGTGAGCAAAGTTAAAAGTGCTGATTTAATTAAACCACAGGCACGCAGCATTTATCTTTCTTTGGATGGGAGGGTTGTGGGGGGGGGCACATGGCATTGCAGGAAGAAGTGGAATGGACAGTGAGGAAACCAGGTCAGCGTTGCAAAACGATGCGAGGATCCGAGGGGAGGCAGAGGTTGACCAAAAATGTTCAAAGGATGAAGAGTTAAAAGGAAGCTGTGTCACGGAGAAGGGGGGGNNNGAGAGAAGAGGGAAAGAGCAAGAAAGGACAAGTCTGAGAGCCAGAAGAGACTGGCTGTTTCTCCGGGCTAAGTTTTCTCCATCCAGCATTCAGAGTTTAACTTTGATCTGAAACATTGGATGGCTGTGTGGCTTTCTCCGGTCAAACCTGTGCTAACACCCACGTTTTGCACAGCTTCATAACGAAGTAGAAAGACTGCATCATTATCTTAATCAGGTACTCTTTCATGATAATATTTCAATAAAAAAGGTGGTTGGCAAATAATATAATTGGTGTATGTTGCTGTAATGTGGAATGCGCAGTTACCACTCGGCTACAAAGGCCCTCCTGAAAGCTGCTTCTCATCGCCTGAATCACAACACTAGAGCTGCATGATCCCGTGTGAAGTTTCACACAGAGGGAATGTTTTTATTCTTTTTTATGTGGCAGTCCATCAAGACTGTGTGAAGTGGCACAAAAGAGGTCAACCATTGAGGTTGCTCTCATCGCAGTCTTCACAAGTATCCATACAACATACAAACGCATTTATTTCATGTCAATAGGTTGCTGTTGTGAAATATGAAAACCTTTTTATAAAGAGTTTTTGCTCTCTTCCCGACATGGAGACTGTTTGCAGTGTGCAGTACAAAGCTGAGAACACACTCACAGTACGGTTCAGTATGCCTGTCAGTCGGGACAATAGAAGCTCATCTGTAAACATCGTGCTGCAAATCAATCCCTTGCCCACACATTATCTGTTCAGATTTGCTTACTTGCCTCCATCTACACATTCCCCAGAAATAAGCTGGATTCTTCCAAACTCTCTTCAATCTTGCTCAGTCTAATATTTACTTTGGCAGCGTATTTAATTCCCTTTACCCTACAGATGTTGAAGAGGGGAAACAGTTTGCCCAGTCGTTTTGAAGCAGTGCTCACAGAAGCTGTTTTAGACAAGCTAATGCTAAGCTGTGCCAAAGGGGTTAAAGCACAGTCTGAATGAATTCATCACCAGCTCATTTAAACCTGGACAGAAAAACAATTAGCAGTACTTTCTCTGCATTCATCTTCTACACACCCTGCTCTGTTTGATAGTCCCGCAGTAGAAAGGAATTTAAAATAACCTACACATTTGTTTTTGTTGCAAACTCATCGAGCCTGATTTGGGTTTCAATGTAGATTGTATCGAGAATGCTGCATATCTTTTACATATCTTTTACATACCATCAGAGATGAAATAAAAACAGAATTACCCTAAGGGGGTCTTTTCAGGTAATACACAACAGTCTACAGACTTTCCAGTTATCCTCTCCTTATGAGAACATATTTGATTAGTCAAGTCACAATCACGTGTTGTATCGAAATGTTCTGTGGTTGTTTGAGCTTTTTTATATGTACTTTGCAGAAATCATAAATGTGTGTATCGTCATTAGCATGGCAGCTAAATTGACCTTGTTCCAGTATTTTGCGGTGTATTAAACGATTCAAGATTGAATGGTTTTATTATCATATGCACAGTAGCTACAGTGTAGTTATGGCAATAAAAATCTTAGGTCCTCCAGCTGTAAGATATTATACAGTATATAGGACATAAGACAACAAATAAAAATAGCGCAAATGAAACTTTTGAACATTTGAATAAAATAGTGCAGGTTATGTTGCTAGAGCAGTCTACAAGTAGTGCTGATGAAGTTAATTACGGTATATGTCAGAAAATAAATGTCAGAAAATAAATAAATACACACTGCATAATTCTAAAGCATCAGTAGGCTCTTATAAAAGACTGGTTTTAGTAAGATTAGAGTGCAACAAGCTCCCAAGAAGTAGAGACCCTGCAGGGTGCTAGGGTAGGGTGACCAGATGAGAACTGGTGACATTTGCGAGACAGGAGTTGATGTAGTTTGTTGCCTCCAACACATTTAGTATCAATGAATATTAGAAATACTCCTTCCTGCAGTCTTCGGATCGTTTGTGTCACAGGGTGGACCCAAAAAAACCTTTAATGTTTTCTGGCATAGCATGGTAAGGCTAAACAAACAGCCCAAACCTCTCTGAAAATAAGGATCCAACAAATAATGACATGAAACCAGAACTGAAATAACTGCAGGACTAATCACAAGAACACGACACAGCTGAGGAGGGCAGAAAAACACAGGGGCACCAGGTGAACACGATCAGGTCATCAAAAGAGACAGGAAGTAAAAACAGACAAGACACGTGGGGTGAAACAGTCTAAAAAATAAAACAGGAAACAGACATACAGTTTGAATCTTTTTAGGCATCAAGGATCGACAGGTATATCTCCCCCACTCCACAACCCAACATTGTTATAAGTATACTGAACCGCTATGCGTCTTTACCAACTTGGGCAAATGATTGTACATGGCAAAAATAAACAGCCCATAATTCATGTTGCCGACAAACATTACAGTGCCCATCTGTAACACCAAGATAATGTTGCACTACAGTCAGAAGTTAATGTATAAAATACGCTATAACTAATCAAAACTTTGGTCAGACTTTTGGACAATTGCACGTTATCTGGTACTTTCCCGCACTTTTCTGGACATGGTGGTCATGGTGCTTGCATTGAATATACAAAGGTGATGATTTCTGTGACATTACTCTTCAGTGACAATGTCCAATTGTTTAACTTTTTCTTCCTTGCTTGTTGTTTAAGTATTTGTTTACTTCAGACTAAAAAATCGTATGTGGTCTGTTGTTTCCTCCATAGCTAACACTACAGAGCACCAAGACCCGGGTGGCCTTCTTTGAGGAACTGTAAACTACGTACCTGTAAAGATGGGGATGCACACCTGCCAAGAACCTCATCACTCTACATTCCTGGTCGGTTTAAATGATTGGCCGCCACTGTGAGACCTTATGCTCTTACTGGGAAACCACTATGAGACAGAAGAAAATGACCACTGCCTTTATCTGCTGTAGCTCCAGGGACCTTGTGTGTACGAAACATGGTGAACACATAATGTCACAGCTCTAAATCTGTGTGTGTTTACAGTCCGAGTGTGTGAATACAGCACATTCTCAGTGAATACTTTGGATGGGTATTGGTTTTTATTCATGCGAAGAACAAAGGTAGATGATGAGAAGGAATAACATTGGTCTTTGACTGATCCAGTTCCACTGTGGCTGTAATGAGACAGTACTTTGAATTTAAGAATTGTTATTATATAAATCCTGGATGACCTACTTTTTTTGACTGTTTTGCAATTCTAATAGAAATAGACTTCTAAGGGATAAAGTTGAACAAAAGAACACATTGATTATAAGAAATGTTGCCCTTACCTGACTCAAATATTTGATATTTAGTAAGGGCCGTTTAGACTGCCATTTTGATTTCTAATGCAAAAAAGAAGTCCTTAAAGTATCTTGTTATACATATTATATTACATTACATGTTACACACTTTTATCCAAAGCGACTTACATACTCAATACTGTGGATAATCCCCACAGGAGCAATTTGGGGTGAAGTGTCTTGCCCAGGGACACAACGACATGCTGACTGCAGTGGGGTTTGAACCTGTGACCCCTGATCCCTACACCAAGGCTCTATCCACCGCGCCACACACCTCCAACATATCTTTTTGTTTTATGGAATGTTTAAATAAGGAATACAAATATAGCTTTCCTTTGCCATTAAACCATTCATTGTTAATACTGGGAGTTGATGGGCCGTGGTAGATATTAATGATACTATAAACTGAAAAATCCACTTATGTCACTTATTACGAGTCATTTGTCTTGGTTTTGTTGTTTGAGCCTGGTTTCCAACATCTCAAACTGTGTTTCCATGTTTGTGTCTTAATGCAATTTGTATGGTAAATGTAAACATATTGTTGTACACAAGGCCTTTGGACCTGTGTTTACATCCTGTGATACACAGAGGAGTCGTGTTTCTCTGCCTGCCTCACACTTTTTTAGGATGCCGTTACACATTGTAGCAAAGAAACTAGGATTCTTTGCGAGCTTGTGTCACATCTGTCCGTGTTTTGTGTGTTTGTGAAGACAACCAGTCAACCACTTATATCAAAAAACATGAATTTGCATCTATTTTGAATGAATGTGTCTTTTTGAGTTACTGTTTGTTTTTCCTCTGAAAGCAATTTATTTTTACAATGTGAAGGAAATATATTTCTTTCAGGATTGCATTTAACAATAATATTAAGCAGTATTTGAAAAAAACACTAGGTAAAGTTTCCTTTTATAACTAGATATCAATTTTTTACAGAAACATTGTACCAGATATGTATGTTTATAATGTAAAATAAAAGAATATCAGGTGTGAGTTCTTTTGTATGTTTGCGTTTTTTTCCCATCCAGAAATAAGCCGTTTGTTAGTTATTTTTGGGAGACTTTGAAACATGTGAGCTTAGATATTGCTGGCGTCAGAACCTCTTCCACGCGACCCAAACCGACATCCAATTACACCTGTGAGATGATTCAAGTGTTACGTAAGCACCTTCCATCCAGAGTCAGATCACATACACTGTTTAATTGAGTGACAAGATCTGTGTGTGTGCTTACGGATGCGTGGGTGAGAGTTGTGTGTTAACTCTTTAATGTGAGTCCCTTCCCGTGGTGTGTGTTTCCTGAGACTGACAGCTCTCTGGCAGAGTGAGTGGCACTGAGGTCACGGGGCTTCTCCACAGCTCTGTCACCTCTGGGCTCTGTTGGAGAAAGGCCACGCTTTGCCTGTCAGTGTCGTGACAAAAGAGGTGTCTTCCGGAGCCAACTCTCCCCCGGGGCTTAGACTCTGGTGGAGGGGTCTTTGGGGGGGATACGGAAAACTAACAGACACAGACCTTCCTCCGTCACCGCTGCCTCTGCGTCAGCACTGCCTTATGAAACAGGGGAGAGGGAATATGATTGGAAAGAAACACATCTTTTGTCATTTTTCCATTTTCAGGGGAACACAGTTGACGTCACACCTGCACACACTTGTGTGCAGACACATATTTGTCTTGCAGCGTACTGCAGGGGTAGGGGAGTTTACGGGGACTGCTTGATTATAAAAGAAGCACAAACAATATGAAGGGAAAACCCTTATGTCATAATCCATGGTGAGTCTGCATACTTCAGGCAATGAAAACATAATGCAGTAGAAATGACATTGGCTCAGTAGGATTGCAAATAAAACATCATTATTTCCCTTTTACAGGAGTTGGTATACCTTTAACCCCATGTTGCTTGGAAGTGAGGGCATACATAATTAAAATAGTGAGGGCATAATTGAAAAAGAAACAGTTTCAGTTGTTTAGGAGATTTTCCATTTAACTTATATGATCACATCATTACATGCTGGCTACCTCAACAAAAAGCCAATTTGTCTTTTGTTGGATTATTTGCCAAATTTCAGCTCTGTTTCAAATCGAAGTTAATTTTACCTACATATAGATATCCTTTATTTAACCAGGTAAAAAGTCTCGCTGAGATTAAAATCTCTTTTACAAGAGCGACCTGGCCAAGTGGGCAGCATGATCAAAGTTACAACAGATAAAACACAAAACAATACAGGCAGACGAATACAGCTGTCGTAAAACATAAATGAAATGGCACATTAACCGTCAATATACAAATGAAATAAACTATTATAAATCATTAAAAATAATTTAATTTTGGGATATACGAGCAATCACATCGACCAATGGATTCTTGTTCTCTTTCCTTAAGATGGACTTGAACTCCCCCATAGTGATCAAATCTGACAGTTTCAGCTCCTTCTGTACATTATTCCAGGCAGAAGGGGCCGCATATTTAAAAGCTTTTTTACCTAGTTCTGTTCTCACTTTAGGAACCAGCATATGCATAACATCTTGGGAGTGCAGGTCATATAGACTTTGGGGGACAGAGAGGGCAAAAGTACACACATCCTTTACTCAAGTAGAAGTACAGATACTCGTGTTTAAAAATACTCTGGTGAAAGTAGAA